AAATGATCGGCAATCAACGTTAAATTTAACAACCAAGACAACTCTGTACTTTATTGCTAGCCAGAATTAGTGAAATTAGGCAGCTGTTAGGGAGTCACATGAGACACCACAATTTACAATAAGAAATAATACATAATTTATTACGTTGATTTATTACAATTACTTTTCACAAATATTATTTTTTAAAGATAACGCAAGCCTGTAATATAGACTTCGCCGCATCTTCTCCGAAACTTTCTAGTTTATTTTCCTTTCTCTCACTCTCTTCTCTAATTTCTCTACGAACCTCCTTCAGCATTTCTCCAGTAACTGGTTTCTCAGCAGTGGAACAGGTTAACTGCATTCGGGCCTCTTGTAACGTTGTTTTCTGATTAGGATCAGTTCGCATATCATACTTATTAAACATTCCCTCAATCTGTTGCTGATGAACGACAATAGGCCAAATTTTGTATTTCACAAAATCATAAATGAGCGGGAAATTGTGAATACTGGAAGCATTATCAGATTCCGCAAAAGCAAGAAACTGTTCCAGAAAATCTTCTTCTTTCAGAGCATCGAACAAGCCAAAGGAGTTAGTTATTCCTCTTGACAAGTCTTCCTCAAGAAATTCGATGTATGATTTTTCTCTCCAAGTTGTCTCAGTTTCGAAAGATTGACGAAGAATTTTCGATGCAACTGCTCGAGCAAATTCCGGCCCATAATCTCCTCCTAAGCGGCACACAGATAATGGTAAGTGAATCCAGCATTCCATCCACTTTGAAAAGCTTACTAACGCTGTTTCAATCCCACGTTTTAATTTAAGAGAATGGGTTTGCAACTCACTCTCATGAAAAATGGAGCTGAATTCTTCAAATTCCTCGATAAAACACTCATTAGGACAGTCAATTATTTTATATAATTCACCCAACCATATTAATACTTGATCAGGCAATTGATGTGCTCTATTACCAGCAGGGAGGTGAATTAATACGCCATTTTGTATTGCACGAGGAGTATGATCATATCCTGTAAGAAAATCAATAACTTTAGCATAGAATTTTTTCCCAAACGCTACCATACATTTGACTTGAAAGTTAAGTATAGGATTTTGCAGCCAATCACGAAAAACTTTCCACTTTTGTACATATGATGAGAGGGCATTTTTAGTGTTTTCTAGTTGAGGAATAAACCAGTTTGCAAACTGGAGATGAATTTCCCTATGCTGTAAATATTGTTCGGCAGTTGTGAGCTGATATAGCCAACGAGTAGAGATGGGCCGTTGGTACTGCTTGAGATGATATTTCAACAATGTCCAGTATAACTTTCGAATTATGTCGGATTTTATATTCATGGGGTTACCCCTATCGCTGTCTTTATATCCATCGTGAAGATTATATGCTAAAGTCAAGAGGTTCGATGGATGTTCTATTAAGAGGGAACTTGGAGACGAATTTATTTTTCCGAATGCTTCAGCTTCAAATTTAGTTATGGCGATATGTACTGAATGTATGCCGCAAGGAATTCGATATGCCTGAGCTTGAGATCGAAAATTAAATGATGCAACGGCGCCCGCGTTTAATCCCGACATATAGGCTGCATTATCAGTAAGCCAATAATTGCATTTCATGGGATCAAATTTATAGTCCGTGCACGTTTTTAAAACAGCGTTTGCGACTTCAGTCCCCGTACATCGATTTATATCTGTCATTGTTGCCAAGGTTAACATCGGCTCTTCCTTCTCATTATTCCAATAGGCAAAACAAACTAGAAATACTTTCTTTTCCCCTCTAGTGCTTTCATCTGCCATTACTCCATACGTAAAAAAGCGTGCTTCTCTGTCTATGCTAAGATTTTCGCAAGTAAATAATCTTGCAATTTCTTGGTTCCAACGGGAGACTGTGCCGGTTGAAAGCCATTTATCAGGGTTTTCTCCGGTCAAAAATGCATACATTTTTTTGGTACATTCCACCGTCGATGAAATTGATACAATTCCCGTGTTACTAAGTTCAGTAACCAGTTGAACAAATTGTGGTGTGTATTCTCGTTTATTTACCCTTATCAATTTTTCGGCTTCCCTTTTAAATTGTTCTGGTGATATCTTTTTTCCTTTCTGGTTTATTGAACGAATTTTGCTTATATATCGAGCCTTAGCTCCTTCTCCCTTGATTACTTTCATTTTAAGCGAGTGGACTTGAGATTCTGCGATTTCTTTCTCTCTTCGTAATTTTCTATTCTCTTTTTCTAATAAATTTATTTTAGATTGAATCGCTGTAATGGAAGAGTAATGCTTACTTAACCCTTCCACTATAAATGTTTTAGCTTTGTTTATAATATACGGTGAGAAAATTTTTGCTTTTCGGTTTCCGCTAGAATATCTCATTGTTTCGAAGAGATGGCAAGCTGCAGCTACTTCGTCATCGGGCAGTAACTTAATTTGATCAATTAATTGTGCTCTCTTTCTTTCTAGACGTATCGTGTTTTTTGAAATTTCTATGTTCGATTCAGGAACATTAATTGTATTGGTACTATCCGATAAAACGTTGGATTCTGATAATTCCGCTATATTGATTACATTATTATTTTCTGATATGGCATTAGTGTCCGTTGGCGATTCAGAAATTTCGACAATATCCGTTTCTGACGTAGTATTTGATTCAGGGACATCAATTGTATTGGTACTTTCTGATAAAACGTTGGATTCCGATAATTCTGCTATATTGATTGCATTATCGTTCTCTGATACAGCATTGGTGTCTATTGGTAACTCAGAGATTTCGACAATATTAGCGGTTTCTGGTGTAGTATTATTAGCGATGGGGGTTCCTTGATAACGAACTTGGTTTAAATGTTTATATTGCTTTTTTTGCCGCGGCATTTTAAAAGTTAGATATTCTTTATTAAATCGTGCTGTCTTCGAGCCGTATATATAAGTAAAATTCCAAGATATTATTTTCTTGGCGTAATGATTAAACGGCTTGGCAAATATTAATATCAATAAAGAAAAAGCGGTACAGTTCTTGGGGCTCAGGAACACATTTCGAGTCCTTTTTTTTTTTAAAAAAAAAAAAAAAAAGAAAAGGCAAGAATTCAATTTTGTATGTTTACTTCGAGGCCCAATTTCACTAATTCTGGCTAGCAATAAAGTACAGAGTTGTCTTGGTTGTTAAATTTAACGTTGATTGCCGATCATTT